TACTAATTACTTAAGTCATATATGTTCTAAGTATACAGGGTGTTTATTAAGTACTTGTACAAACTTTAAATAGTGAATCTTTGACTAATTTTAAGGCAAAAAGTTCATATGAACACGTGTCCTAAACCTCTTAACTTTTGTGCTACAGGGTGGTAAAGTTTTCAGAAAAAATCTATTTTTTCCAATAACTGTGAGACTATTGTAGATATCTTTACGAAATTTGGTACACGTATACTATGCATTAAGATGCATTTTTTGATGTACAAATTTATGTTTTCTACCAGTGGCGTCCATACCTACGGGGTTTGTATTGAATATTTTTGCAGAAAAAAATAGTATGCCACTGCTTCATCTTAAAACAAAAATTATTTTTGAAATCCTCATTTATTTTTAAACAAATTTAATCTCCTGGGTTTTTTCGTTCGATGCATAGTTTACGCTTTAAAAAATAAAATCCGTTTTATTTCAGAGTCAAATTGCTAAAATGTACAATTGTACATACATGCATAGCAAGCCTTGCAAACAACCGAGAGGTTTCCATGGTAGCGAAATCAGTCATGACAGTTTATTTAAAAAAAAAAGATCATGGTTTTTGTCATTTAAAAATGTATGTATGTAATAATTTATTGTCTATTATTGTGTTCAAAATGTACGAATATACCAATGCAGAAATGGCAGACATTCATTTCGTCTACGGAATGGCTCACGGTAATGCACAAGCTGCAATAAGAATGTATCAAGCCCGATTTCATCAACGGGTGGTTCGACATGTCCAAACTTTCATTAATATTCACGCAAGACTTTGTGAAACTGGCAGCTTTAAAAGAACAATTGATATCCCAGGAAGGCCTGCGACAGTTCGAACAGTTGAAATTGAAGAAGCTGTGTTAAATAGAATTGAAGAAGACCCGCAAACTAGTACAAGGAAAATTGCTCATGAATTGAATATTACGCATACAATTGTGTGGCAAATTTTAAAATCTCAACAACTTTATCCTTATCATATTCAACGTGTACAGGCATTACTACCTAGATATTTTCCTCTCAGAGTAGATTTCTGCGTTTGGCTGCGAAATAAATTATTAACAACCCCGGATTTCTTAGGCCATGCACTTGTTACAGACGAAGCTTCTTTTTTTCGAAACGCCATCATGAACTTCCACAACAACCATATCTGGTCTGAGGATAATCCCAATGCTATCATAGAAAATAATTTCCAAGATCGTTTTTCTCTAAATATTTGGGTCGGAATTATCGGGGATCACTTTATTGGACCTTGCATTCTTCCACAAAGGCTAAATGGCGAAGAGTACAGAAGATTTTTGGAGCACGACCTTCCTGAACATTTAGAAGAAATTGATTTGGCTACCAGAAACAGGATGTGGTTCATGCACGATGGCGCACCGGCACACTTTTGTTTGGCTGCACGTCAATTTCTGAACGAGAATTATCCTAATCGTTGGATAGGAAGAGCGGGACCACAAGCCTGGCCTCCCAGATCACCAGATTTAAATCCTCTGGATTTTTTTCTGTGGGGTCACTTAAAGACACTAGTTTACAAAACATCCGTTCAAAATAAGCAAGATTTAAGAAACAGGATATTTGAATCGTATGCCATTATTAATCAGACACCAGGTATATTCGAAAGAGTACGTCAATCAATGTTAAGGCGAATTGACGCATGCGTTGCAGTAGGCGGCGGGCATTTTCAGCAATTGTTGTAAATGTTATTAACTTATTTGTAAAAGTAGTTTAGTCTTAGTCTGTAAATAATCTAAGTTTATCACATAACAATATTGATCAATAAAAGACACATTTTTCACTTGTTCCATGCAGAATACTATGCGTCGGACGAAAACTATGCGCCGGAGAAAAAAACTCATCAGACCAAATTTGCACAAAAAAAAACTTTTTTCTGAAAACTTTACCACTCTGTAGCTCAAAAGTTAAGAGGTTTAGGACATGTGTTCATATGAACGTTTTGCCTTAAAATAAGTCAAAGATTCACCATTTAAAGTTTGTACAAGTACTTAATATTAAATTAAAGATCCCCTCTTGAGTTATCAACTTAAAACTCAACATAGCTTTGTATAAATTAATAAAGTACACTACTATTTCGTTTAGACATGACCAATAAAAATGGCCATATTTTGTACTCTTTGATCCAATATGTTTGTATGTGTATAACATACAATATACCATGTATACTTGGTTTATTAAAATAATTGAAATCTTGAGTTTTACTCGGCGTTTTTGTTACATTGTTACTGGTTAGATGATGACATGATGAAATAAATTATATATTGTCCAACAACATAGAACTTTCCATCTCAAAGAGGGTTGCTTTGTATTTTTTCGGTAAGCAAATTATCTTGATCATCGCTAAACTGCTCTGGTTTTTGACTTGGTTCAATTTGTAAAATTTGACTTATGGTTTTATTCCTTACTCCAAAATAATCCGGCAACAACGTTTTTTTTTGGGTGTCTTGGGGGTCTAACTTGGGTCATCGTCGTCTGATATTTGGAACGAGTCCTCTGGCGAAGCCGAAGTCGCCTCAAATAAATCATGCTCAACTTCCATGATTTCTATATGTTGTAGATATTAAATATATACAATAATTGAAGGTACCATACCATAATGCGGTTTATCCTCCAAGTAAACCGATTACGATTCTTGTTTTAATAGAAAAAATCATAGAATTCTGCAACAAATATATTTTTCCTACTTGCGTGCGGAAAAACGTTTTTTACGCACGTAAATGTGTGCTGGAAGTTGAATTTTCCGCACGCTGTGTGGAAATAGTAGTTTGTGCAACAAGAGTGGATATGATAGAGTGCTCAATCGTCTGAGTGCGATATGGACAATCCACTCGAGTTATACAGAATATTTTTTCTACCACCCACTAACGAAAATATGAACTGTGATTGGTGGATTTAATTTTTTTGCAGAATTCTCACTACCTAGAATGGATATGAAATATATTCGTTCGGTTTGGCAGAACAAGTCTTTGGAAGTTGCTAAAGGAAATAGGTTTCAAATTTAAGAAAGAAGATAATAGAAAAGCTATGTGAAAAAAATAATGTTGTTCATAAAAGAATACATTTTTTAAGAGAATACACTCGTTTAAAAGATAATGGAGCTTCTACGTTATATTCGTCTAGCGTCGGGCGATCCGACAACCACGCAGATAGTGCCGATCATGGAGGAAGGATGTGCCGATAGTGCGAAACTGGCGAAGCGAGCAGATGAGTAAAATATGTGTGTACGTATAGGTGTACTACAGGTACCTTGAGTTTATATATTTATTATTATGCGCGTATATAGGGCATTAGACGAAAGTGAATAAATTTATTACAAAAAAATGAAAGGTAAGCAGTAGTATTTTAATAGTGTTAAAAATATCTGTTATTTACTAACGAATTTTGTGTTTGTAGGCGTCTAAGTGTAAAAATGAGTTTCCGGCATCAATCAGGCGCAGAAAAAAGAAAAAAAGAAAAAGGTGCAAGTACAAAACAGAGAAACGTTAACAAAGATAACGACTTTTTTGATACAAATAGAGAAAATGAAGATCATGAAGTGGATCAAGAAGTGACGGAGAATACTCTTGCAACTGGATCTCAAAATTTACATGAAAATATAGACAGACAGGATGATCTTATTACATTAGACAATGGCAGCAGATCTGATCTAGTACTGGGGGTAACAATTGTCTCAAAAGACGACGAAATACTAATTTTATAAGAACTGTGATAATTTTTAAACCAAAGAGTGATTCCCTGGAAAGATGAATACAAAGTTTATTATAGAAGATTAAATGAGAGCAACTTTTATGGAGTAAAACCTAATGGAGGCAAAGAGACGCAACGACGCAAGTGTTAAAGCTGTTTATTGTTACCAGTGCAAATTATTTTCAATTGAAAAAAATAGTTTAACTGATTTTGGATGTAGGGACTGGAAACAGTTGAATAGTTTATTCAAATCTTACGAAGAAAATAAGCCTCATCTAAACTCCATTGTTACATTAATAACAAGATCATCATTAATTGGAGTCATAGACGTTAAAAAGAACTAGTAGATTGCGAAGCTGATTATTGGGTAAAGGTCTTAAGGAGAATTGTTGCCACCATTAAATTACTTGCTTCTCAAGGATTAGCTGTCTTCATAAAGGAAATTTGACAACTTCTTAGCTAAGCATTTATAGCGATATGCGAATAAAGAGAAAGGGTCAGTTAGGTATCTGTCTCACCAAATTTGCAATGAATTCCTGGAAGTGATGACTTTTATACTAAAAATTAAAGAAGCCAAATATTTCTCTATAATTGTAGACTCTACCCCAGACATCAGCCATCAAGACCAGCTAACTTTTATTCTTAGGTATGTAAAGGGCAATACGGTAGTTGAGGGATTCCTCGGTTTTATTCAGCTGGAGAGACACACTGCGGAGTATTTATATAAATATAAATATAAATATATATATATATATATATATATATAAATAAATTAGAAAAGTTAGGCTTGGATATTGAAAACTGTCAAGAACAGACCTATGATAATGCAGCAAATATGTCGGGTCGCTATACAGGACTTCAAGCAAGAATACAAGCATTGTCATTAACCGCTATTTATGACCCATGTGCGAATCATTCTTTAAATCTTGCAGTAAACTTTGCATGTGAATTAAACATGAAAGTAACTGATTATTTCAGGACTGTTCAAAGTATTTACACGTTTTTTTCGTCTTCTCCTCAAAGGTGGAATTCACTGAAAGAATGCTGCAAATCTTCTGTAAAGAGATTGATTGAAACTAAATGGTCTGTCCTATTTAACTCTGTAAATGCTTTACTTAAAAACTACAAACCTTTAAACATATTTTTTTAAGTTAAGCAATAATAGAGACAAAAAATCAGCAGTTAGAATTGAAGCCAAGGCTCTGCACAATAAAATGAACACATTTTAGACAGCTTTATTAACAATAATTTGGGCAAGAATTTTGGAAAGAATGAATGCAACAAGCAAAACATTAGAAACTGAGGATCTGAACGTGTCATTTGGAGTCGAATTAGTGACATCTCTTTTGACCTTTGTTGGAGAAATCAGGAATAGGTTTGACGAAATTGAAATAGAAGCAAAAACTTTCTTTTGTGAAGGCGAGAATATCTCAAACATATCCTATAAAACTGACCTTCAAAGAGCAAAGCAAAAACAAACATTTTTTGATGATACAAGTGAAAGTGAAACAATTTTAAAGGGAAAAGAGAGATTCAGAATTGAAATATTTAATGTTATATGCGACAATATCACTCAAGATCTTTCAAAGAGAGTTGAATGCTACAAAGAAATAACATCAGTCTTTAGATGTTTTTTTACCTCAGATGAAAAATATAAAAAAGATGATGAAACTAAAGAGAACCAAAAAGAATTATGACAAAATTTAAATAAAAACACAATTTATGACAAATTTGAGGTCATCCAGAATGTAAAAGCAGCTTTTCCCAATATTTTAACTTTACTCCAAATTTATTTGACGATACCAATTTCTAATGCGTCGGGCGGGCGGTCTTTTTCGGCTGTAAAAACAATAGACATATTTAAGATCAAACATGGGCCAAGACAACATAGACGCATTATCACCATTATATAGAAAATGTTGAATTGAAGCAATTAAATTATGATGCCAAATCAAGAAAAAAATGTTTTTATTTATTTGTTTTTATTGTATATTTATTTGTTTTTATTGTTTATTTATTTCCATTCAAAAGGAAAGACTTGTATTTCGTGCAAAACTTTTTAATTAATAAATGCAAAGGCTTTCGGCTTATTAGCCATCATCAGTGCTTATCTACAAATATTGTGGATGTAAACTTACAATTTAAAAAATATAAATCTGATTAAGACTTTTAAGTCAAGAGTTAAAATTGTATATATATGGTTGTTTGAACAAATTAACAATTAAAAGATACAAACAAAGTGACAAAAAACCAGTATTGGGAATAGTGAGTGTGGGATAAGCCCTTACAAATCATATCTGATCTCCAGAAGCAAGTTAGCTTGTGTGGAAATGAGAAATTATACCACCTTCACCATTCGCACAATTGAAAACAAGTTAACAAATTAGTTAAAATTTAAAGAAATTTACAAATAGAGGGTGACTGTGAAAACTATATATTGAAATTTGAATCTAGAATGCAATAGTTAATATGAAGAAAGTTAAACGCAAAAGGCCAAAGTAAAAAACTGAAGGTTTTTTATATTTATATACATTATAATTATAAAAAAATTCTACCTACTGTCCACAATGTATCCAACAAGTTCCTGGTCATCCTCACTCCCAAAGTTAGATATTTCGGGATATTTACAACTTGCTAAATCATATTATTAGTATTATGAATATTTTCAAATTTAAATTTCTTTATCTATTCATTTTTTCTATTTATTTATTTGTTTTGTGTTGTTTCTATATTTTTTTTGTATAGTTTGAAATGTTATTTTTTGGGTTTCTTTTTTCATTTGTTTTTAAAAATGTATGTATGGTTTTTACAATAAAAATTCATAAATTATAGCATGTGTTTACTCATTAAAAAACTGACAACGAATAGCAATGAAAGGGGCCCCTGAATATCCAGCGCCTGGGCCCAAAGTTAGGTTAAACCGGCACTGGATTATGGACCACAATATAAAGTTGGAAATAGCAAAATTGGCCATAATAATTTTCTGAACACTATACTCGGACAAAATATTGAAGAAGGTGATTCTTCCCTGTTCACGTACAACAATAATACTATACCAGAGCATAATGAATGGAATCACGCGCTTAAAACTGCAGAAGTTGTCGGTATCACGTGCCAACTAGTCATAAATGCATGTTTATTGCCAAAATGAATTACGCCAGTGGCGTATAAAAACTATTGGCAAATTGAATGCGGTAATAGTAAATAATATTATATGAAAGTAGGTTAGTTATCTATTTCTGTAGTAATAATCATTTATGTTTATAATTTTGTTTTGTTTATTGTTAAAATATGTAAATATTATGCCAGTGGCGTAGAAACACTATTGTAAAATTAAATGGGGTATTATACTAGAACAAAATATTGAAGAAGGTGCTCCTTAAAACTGCAAAAGGTATCGTTATCATATCAAAATGCACTCTTCCAGTGTCGCAGAAATACTATATTGGCAAATTAAATGGGTATTTGTGAATATTACTAGATGAAAGTAGGTTGGTTATCTATTTTTGTTATAATAATTCATCTATGTTTATAATTGTATTTTGTTTATTATAAAAATATGTAAATTAAGCTTGGTATCACTTACTTGAATTCTAAATCTATGAAGTTTCGTAATCCATTGATTCTGCAGAACTATCACTGGAATCGTTTTCATCGTTGGAACTTAAAGTTATGACGGAAGGTTCAACTACCGTTTCAATCATACCGTCCAAGCGCCACATATTATTTTCTTCCTTAATTACATGGGAAATAGGATTCTGCCAATCTTCAGATTTTATACGTTCTATACCGGTTGTTAATAAACTTTGAACGTCGGCTATTATAAAAGTTTTATTTTCTCGAGCTACAGACCCTTTCACTTGCGCCCAAATTAGTTCAATAGGATTGAACTCGCAGTGATTAGGGGGAAGTCTTAGTACCGTAATACCACGATCACGAGCCATTGTGTCGACAACATATTGAATATATTTATGGCGGTGTTCCCTTATTAGGTCCATTAATTCCACTTTAAGCATCTCCTCAGTAAATGTTATTGCTTTATCCCGCAGCCAGGTTTGCATATCCGCTTTCCTACTGGACATTATCGGAATGCGTTCAACTCGTCGATTGTGATAAGAAGGGTTATCTAGTACAATAACTGAATTTCGTTCTACACGCTGTAATACTTCAGTAAACCATTTTTCAAAACATTCCGCATTCATGTCCTCGTGGTAGTCTCCTGTTTTTTTTGATATAAACACAAGAGTGCTATTTTCCAAAAATCCACTGTCACTTGCGATATGGATAACAATTAGGCGCTCTCCTTTACCTGATGGTGCTTTCAAACCTGTAGATAATCCCTCTATAAAAGCTTGGCGATGACTAGTTACAAAAGTATCTTGCTATATCTTAAATATCCAGCATTCACCCACGTTTCATCGAGATAGTATATCTTTTTTTAGCGGCTCTAAACTCTTTAATATTTCGTAAATAACGCCGTCGCCAGGACACTATATCTGACCTCTCAATTAAAATTTATTTCCTACACCGTTTGACAAACCGAAATTTTAGGCTCCATAAAATTTTTCGTAAAGTTTCACGGCCCATTAATGGAATTTCTTCGTTTTCTCTTAACTTCGTTAGAACAACTTTAAGTTTTCAAAAAAAAAAAAAAAAAAGAATGTACAGTTCTTCGAATGGTTTGTTTTTGGTTATCGTCCAATTTCAACAATTTTCTACCACGGGTATGCGTTTTAGGGGCTTCTAAGGAGCCTTTTTTGGTCTTTTCGCGTACAATACGTTCAATTGTTGAAACAGATACTCCAGTTAAAAAAGAACTGCGGTTTACAGCTTCATTTGTAGGAAGTGTCTGTTTTAGCCCATCATACAATTTCCATATAATGTTCTTTTCATCCTTTGATAAGGGCTTTCGCCGACGTAATTGGGTTTCACTTGGACCCGCCTCTGAATCCATTACTATTGTAACAATATAATTCTACTATTAATTGTTTTTATTAAATTTATAAAGACACCAATATTTTACTATTTAATAAACTTTTAAAGTACCTACCTAATATACTACACAATAAATAAGGCACAAACATGAACACCTACTCGTATATCAGAAGAGAGCATTTATACAAAAAAGTGTTTATAAAATATAAAATAATTATCGTAAACAGTTAAAACGATACAAATCTAACTTCTTCGAAAGTTAGTTTTCAACTGTCTTTGTGCCTGTGCTGACAATATTCAATCTGTAACCCGTCTGTAGTTTATTTACTTGAAACAAATTTGTTTAAATTTGTTTAAATAAAGATGTTGACTAACAAATTTAATAAAGTTTACTAACAAATACCTAATAAATAATAAATAATTATTTAGTATTTGATACGCCGCCTATGCTAACTCTGTCGGAATTTTTCATTCATAGACAACAGTGTTGATCATACATATGACTCACCTTCTCCAATATTTTGTCCGAGTATACCTGCCACACAGGTCCAACGCGCCAACACAAAAAAAAGGGAGAGAACTCATATAGCAGGGTATTAGGAAAATCAAATGTCCTAGAAAATATAAAATAAAACTTAATACGTGCCTCTTTTTGCTATCAGTTAAGAAACTATAATGCATAGTCGAATAATTGATCAATAAATCTTTCTTCTGTTTCAGCCAGATTTCTTCCCCGATATCCAAAATTCATATACACACTACAGGAACGACAGAGTGATAGTCGTACCGAACCCATCATTACTTCCAGCATATAAAAATATCTTATACATCTTCAAAACATCGACTTTGGTTGCTTTAGTGATTACGTTTATAATTTTGAATATATTACTGAAATATTCTGCTGAGCAAAGATCATACTGCGTTCTGCTTCTATGGGAAATATTTCTGAATGGTGGAGCAAATTTTAATGTACTAAAAATAAGATTTGTGTGGATTTTGGTGGTTTGGTCGTTTCTATCCTTGATCGTACTAGCCAGCGTTCAAACGTTTATATTGGGAGCTCTGATGCAGCCTCGGTATGGACCTATTATTAACACGATAAAAGATCTAAAAGAAAGTGAGTTAAAGTTGTACGTGATAGATTACTATGTGAATTTTACGGATTTGCAGGGAACAGGTATGATAATGATACAAATCGATTTTTGCACTATCTTAAAATTAGCATTACACATGTTTCATTAGAGAAAAGTACAGATTTATGACGCCTAGATAAAGACAATCGTTGACACCAATTTTAAGGCGGGTACAGATCTGAGCACGTTCGCGTATGAGGCAAGCCGAGGACGCATGAGCATGCAGATGTGGACGGGCTTCCCAGGCGCGGCAAATTGCCTCGTTGTGTGCGTCGTACGGTCTCGCTCCGATCCGTTTGTTGGCGCTACATCAAAGGGAGGCAATTCACAGTACGTGCTCAGTCTGGACCGGGAATTTGTACCATACAGCGCCGTACAGATTATAGCGAGCTTTTAGGATTTATTTGGCATGAAGTGGAACCAGGAAAACGTTTTGCTCCTCCTGGATTTAAATTATCAGCGTGATATTTTAAGGAGGTCCTTTCGCCACACCTCTCGCCTCAAATGTTAAAAAAAAGTTATTAGATTATGACTAAAATTAATTTTTTTTAATAGTTGAAGTCCTTATTTATCTAATACTGATCTTTTAACTATACCTTACCTTGCAAATTTTTAAGATTTTTTTTTAA